TCATGTTAAGCCCCAAGAATCTAAGAATGGAGCCCTAGCCTCAAATAGTGGAAGAATCATGCCGAAAGACATACAGGGGAGGAGCTGTTGATTTTTTTGCAATTAGGAACCATGAAAGTCATGTCAAGCTTTGTTGCGGGATGTTTATTCACTCCTCATGTTCCACCCTTGGGGGGCCTCATGCTGTTTACTTGTACCCAGTGTTCCGCATGGGCACCGCAAAGCTGATTCCCATCATTCAGGGACACGCAGTTCCGAACTCTGCGTGGTGAGGAAGTTCCTGTAAGTCCTCAAAACTACGCCCTGAACAACACCAAGCCGCAAAATCTATGAAGTTGCTGTAAGCACGTAGTCCTGAGCCTTAAGCCCTCATAGAACTATATACATCCTACGCCCTAAGCCGAAACCCTAAATCCAAAGCCCTAAGTGCCCACATACATCCTGAGCCCCAACCCTAAAACTTCGGAGCCCAAGGCATCCCCAGCGCCGCCACAACAGCTGGCTCAGGCGCAGACGTGGAAACCTGAAGGGTTCGAGCATTTAGGGCTTAGGATTTAGGTTTTAGGGTGTAGTAGGGCTTAGGGTGTAGGGTTTAGGCCTTTAGGAAAGTTTGGGGCTTAGGGTTTAGGGTTCAGGCTTGAGGGCATTGGATTTAGGATTCAGGGCTTAGGGTTTAGGGCTTAGGGTGAAGGTTTAGGGTAATCACTAGTTATTGGCCCGAAGAATGGAGAAGCAAATGGTCAAGAATATGGAAAGCGAAGTGAAAACTGATACAGCGGTTTACAGGGCGGGGCTTTCAAAAATCAGGGCCCCTATTTGGAGTCCTGGCATGGATTACGGCATATTGGGGCCTTTGCTGGTGTCCCACCACTCATGGCAATCTCCCCATCCCATCGCATACTCTGGGCCCGGTGGGGTTCTGGTAGGCTGTCATCATGCACCTGTTAGGGTGCCAGGGTCTTGGGTTTGGGGTTCCTCCCTATACCCTAAACCCTAAACTCTAAAACTCAAACCCTAAACCCTAAACTCTAAACCCCAAAACCTTAAAACCCTCCCCCTAAACCCTAGAGTTCATAGAGCAGCAACTTCAGGGCCCCGCTCAGGGTTGCCAGTCAGTAGCCCGAAGCTGAAGAGGTCGAGGAAGAAGCAGGCAGGGCAGAGCAGGAAGATGACGAGAATGCGGAGGAAGACGATGAGGAGGAAGATGAGGTCGAGGATGCATAGGGGATTGCATAGGGCACAGGGTTCAGAGTTTAGGGTTTAGGGTTTACACTCCTTATCAGCGGTTATGTATAAAGGATTATATGGGGGCCTTGTATCCGGGCCACTAAGGGGGAAACTAGGAGTTTTGACAATAGCTCATATGGTGGTTGTGAAAGTTGTTAGACGTTGCGTGTCTGGTTCTCAAACCGGCTGCAGCAGCATCAGCGTCATCTTCCTCACCATCCTATTATTTCTACAACCACGACAAGAACAACGACGACGACGACGACGACGACGACGATGATTATTCCCCTCTCCCGCTTAAGAAACCTACCCGCCCCTCCAAATACTAAATATTGCCACTTAGAGCAATGTATCCTGTAAACCCTATAAACCGCATAAATGTCCCGCAAAAGGGACCGGCCAATTTGCAAACCTACGTATGCGGCGCGAAAGCACGCCGAGTCTGTGTCAGAAGACATCGAAGAGGTGATGTGGAGCCAGAAACCCTGCAATTGCAGTTTCTGTATTCAAGCAATCTCAACCCCCGAAGAAAAGACCCTATGCATATGACTCTCATATGGCTCTTATGAGGTCCTAATCCTCAAGGTTGGGTTACCACACTCCTCCCACCACTTGGTTTCCATGGCGCAGAGGCAGAGTTTGTGCCCATCCGTACTTTTTCAGGATGTGTTGTCCACCGCCATCGACGTTGAAGACCCCGTGGGAGAGATCGCAGAGGCTGAAGGAGAAGAGGCCGAGGAGGATGGGGCTGAAGAGGAAGAGGACACGGCCAAACTTCAAGAGGTCATGGACCACTCTGCACAACACGTGGAGATCCGTTTGGACGATGGAGCCGGGGTGGAGAGGGAGACAGAGGCCCAAACACACCTATCAGCACATGTCACGGATCAGGCCAGCAAGCAACCGTCAGCTGCGACGATCGCAAAGGCCTCGCTCCAAAGATCAAGCAGAAAGGAGAGACGTCGCTGTGCAAGGACAGGGGTTGCTTGATGCATGCCCGCGTTGCTGCTTTTGGCTGGTATTGTTGTTCCTATAATGATAGCTGGCGACTGAGCATGGTCACAAAGGGGATGTTATTGTTTTGTTGCAAAGAACAAGTTCGCGAATTCCCTAGGCAGAGGCTGCCTGGGAGGAAGCTGTAGGCAGCTGGTGACGTATAGGGTAAACGGTAGAAGAGAATTCTGTTCATTGGAATCGTTAAATCAACGGGGAGCTCGTGTTGTGAACAACTGCAGTGGGCATTAGTGTAAATCTACTGCGCAGCAAGTCCGCACTCCAGAAGCCTTTTTTGCGCAGGAGGACAGCACCACAGGAGCCAGTCACACCCCCACGGGTCAGGAAGGCCTCCCCAGCAGGTTGCACGCCACGACTCGCACGGAGCACACCACGAGTTGCGCGGAGCACACTGCGATCCGTGCCGCGGGGGAAGTTCTTGGCTTTCGTCGCCAAGAAGCGCCAACACAGCGTTGGCCGAAAAGCGCCTGACCAAGCCTGCCCACCACCAGCACCCGTGGAGGGACGTGCGCCAGGGGAGGGCACACCCCAATGTGCGCAAGGCACCTCGTCTCAGTTCATCATGAATCGTCGGGCACAAACACCGCAGAAGCGGCACCTGAAGAAGGCCACGCTGGTGGCCCCGGACCTACCTTCAAGGCGAGTCAAGGGCAAGCAGCGTCAGGGACAGCCTGCAGAGCCTCCACAGCCCCAAATGGCAGTTGTGAAGGCACCACAGGTTGGCAAACCAAAGGTCAAAGCCAAGGCGAAAGCAGAGGAGGCTCAGGTGGTGCCTTCTGAATGGGTGGGAGAGCGCCGGCTGCTCAGCTTGGTCGTGCCATGCATTGCATGCTTGAAAGATGCAATCTAAACCAACGCGAAGGTGCGCAGGACGCCTACCAGCTCTTCAGCCACTTTGAGGCAGCTCTCCAATGTCAAACCCTAAACTCTCCCATCCCTAAACCCTATAAGCTCTAAGCCCTGAACCCTAATCTCTAAACCCTCAACTC